TAGTGTTAATAACTTTTTAAAAATAAAAAATATGTATTTTATTTTTCAAAATATTATTAAAAAGTGTAAATTACTTTGGATTTTTTACACTTAGGATTTTCAGGTGGTCCACTTCAAGAGTTTTATCTCATACTTAGTTTTCGCTACGAGGACATTCACATAATTTAGTGAAACTATTTTTCTTGATAATAATTTTCTATTTTACGCCGTAAAAACTTTGAATAAAAAATTTCTATGGAAATAATTATAATCAAATAAATAGTCTAGTCATTATTAAAGAAAAACAATTTTTCCAATGGTAATTCAATAAAAAAACGTTAAAGACAAAAATACCTGTTGGAACACGTTTCTGGTACACAGAAGCAAGGAACAAGGAGTTAACTCCACTTTTCATCATATTTTTTCGAAAACTTTCAATGACTAAAATATTTTGTGTAAAACAGATTAAGACGACGATAACATTTCCACATAATAAATGGGCTTGGACTGTACGAAAAGCAAAAATATTGTGTTCCCTGTAGCTCACAACCTTATGAATATTTTATTCTAAGGTGGAAATAAAGGTATAAAATAAAAGGCAAGAATTTGGAGAATTCCGTTTATTTTTCTATCCTAAATATTAGCAGAGAAAATTTTAATCATCCATACTATACACATTAACAGCTGCAAAAAAAATTATTTAGAGAAAACGTAAAACATTTATTTTTATTCTAATTCGTATACAAAAGTTTTGACTTCGTTTGTTTCAATGTTGCCCAAATAAAATAGGAAGTTCGGATAAGGCAAAATATCAAATATTTTTAATCATGGCAAAAAATCAGAAACATGGAAATAAAATCTTTATTTTCGATGATTATTATGCTCTTTTAATGTCTACGTGTATTCACTTATTACGTATTAGATTAGCGTTCAATTCTTACAATCAATTTTAAATACATTTTCATACGTTTTTTTTAAATTTTTTTTTTTAGAGGTCATTTCAGACTTCGTTTGATATTTTACCTCGTTCAATCTCAGACCACAAATACTTCACGACAAATCATATTAGTATTCTCATTAGAGTACAATAAAGACTAAGACAAAATGCATTTTCGTCAATTAGAGACACTAAATTACTTTTCACCGAGCAGCCGTCTTACGTTACTTTTTTTAAATAAGGTGGCAGTTTGTCTTTTAACGATTTGTCGATTTGTCAAAAGGGAATGTTTCAAGTCATACAGTTCAGTCCGATGTAACAGTGAAAAAAAAAGCAACAGAGACAGTTTGTTCATGTCTTTGTTACTTTTGGCTTTATCCATTTTTTGTATTTTTTTTGTATTTTTTTTTTTTTTTTTATACATAAGTACAAAAACAACTGTTCGCCTTGACTTTAAAAAAAAAGGCCGAGTTATTAATTATATTATATGAAATTTCAAGTTTGACGCAAATGCTTACCGAATAAATAAATAAAAACGAAAAAAAGGTAGTAGTTCGACAATATCAATTCCATAATCGCATCGTGTCGATATTTATTGATAAGAATTTACGATCAGAAGTGACATGCGTGTAATAATTTAAAATTGAATCACCTCGTATGAAATAAACTAAATTCTTAATGTGCAAAAGAGCTCATTTATAGTACCTTAAATAACCAATGAGTTACTTTTTATCAACACAGTAGGACTAGCTCGAGAAGTTTACGGCTGATAAAAAAATATCAAATCACTTGCGAAATCACGGCTCATCACGGACTTGTTAATTACACGCAGTTGAATTTATTTTACTTATTTGAAAATAGACACGCTGAAAATTATAAAAATTAATACAATCTTAAGCCGTAGAAACCAGTTCTGGCAAAGTAGTNTCTTCGGGGGCACGAGCAGTCGGAAAAATTGTCATATGTCGTCGGCTGTCAACCATTTAGTATGTAATTATAGGTTAAGTTTCATTGTTATTACCCTGATTTTGATAAGTAGAATTAAGTATTTACGTATAAACGTATTTAGTTTAATGTAAATATGGTTCGAAAATACCAAAAAAAAGCCATATCGTTCTCGGAGTGATGGAGACGTGCAACTTGCAATACAGAGTATTAATAGTAGTAAGACTATTAAAAGTAGTGCAATTGAGTTTAATGTCCCTAGGAGTACATTGCAGAGAAAATTGCGTAAATCAACAAAAGAGTCTTGATGTTTTAAGTAAGTGATCTTTATTTGTCATAATAATCTGAGATAATATTGTTTCATGAAAAACTTAATTATTTATGTAAAATTTATTAGCACCAACAAGTTTTAAAACGACTTTTTCTATTGACCAAGAAAAATCTTATATAAGAAAAAATTGTTACAATTAGTTTGCTGCCTGCTCCGAAAATATGACTATCATTAAGTACAGTGCGTAATGAAAATTTCTATCAACTACTATCAGCAACTTCACACCATATTATTGATTCAGTCTTGAAAATATCTTAGTTAAGAAAAAAAATTTTCATGTTAAAAGTACGATTTAAAGTAGTTAAATAAGCTGAATGAAAAATTATTTTTATGAATCCGGGTCTTTTTGAATGCTTACGCATAAAATACGGAAACAAAATTTATTTGGCACAGAGTACATGTTACATACTCCAAATATGATGAGATTCCCTACAACCTATTTACTTTTAACATTTTTTTATTCTATTGATACTTTTTTCGAATAGTAATGAAAATCGCGTAGTGTCAAGTGTACGAAAGAACGTGACTTTCTGGGTCATTCACAAAAACATGAAAATAATTTCATAGTAAATGACAAGTTTAATCATCCCCAAGACTTCAATCCTCTTACTTCACGTACATCTTTTATATATATTGACAGTAACATACGTAACAAAAGAAACGAAATTTCTCAAATACGTTCCATGCAATTACATCAGTTGATCTATTCAATTAATTGTGCTTCTAATATTTTTTTTTCATTTTTCATAAAAAATTAAGTCGTTTTCTGTCATTTTTAGTACACGGTACGACAGATCAACGATTCTGCGAATGCATAAATATTCGCCTGATTTACCAAGCACTTGTGGCATTGAGAAACTTCATATCTTTGAGTGATGAATCACAAAAATATTTTTATGATTACTGGATTAAAAAGAGTACATTTACATACAAGGTTACGTTTATGTCTTGATTTTCTGGAAGAAACTGTATTTAAACTTAGCAACGGACTATCCGCGTGAGGCTATTGTTTAATTAAAAAATATGTGTTCTCTCTCTCTCTCTCTCTTTTTGATGGCAGGAACGTCAATTTTTTACAGCGATATACTCAACCGATGCGTCTCGCTTCTTCAATGTTTTCTCTCATACCTTATTTCACCGCTGAAGGAACATTTTCATGAGAAAAAAAAAAAATTGTAACGTAAAAGTAATCATTCACTTCGTACAATAAAACTGAACGATTCATACCGATGTCGATCGAAGGCATCCAATGCCACCGTAAAACCGCGACAAAATCCACGTTTGTAAAAATAGCAAAAGTGTTTGCTGATCACGACGACCGACAACGCAAAGGCTTGGATGACTTCGGGAGACATTACACGTTCCATCTGTATGATAAGGATGATTGCGTCAGGGGGATCAGTGGGAGAAAGTTACGTGTGAACAACTTCGTTGAAAGTTGGGTGGCAATGCACGATAGAGTGCAATTAGGACGTCGCGGCGACGACGGGTGGGCTGACAACGTCGGTCTCGCCATTACCGTCCGCGAGGGGTTTCTTCACTTTGATGGAGTCCTCGACCACGGCGCCGTTCTCCTTCGACTCCCCGCTGACGCCGTTGGTTTGTACCTTTTCCCCGGCCACGTCCTTTGTCGCGTCGCCGTTTGTCGTCGTGCCGTTTTGTTTGCTCTCCGTGTCCTTCGGTTGCGCTTCTACTTCGGGCTTTGCCACTTCCTCCTTGGCTTTGTCGCTGCTATCGTTCTCTTTTGCTTCCCCGGCGGCCACTTCAGCCTCGGGCTCGGCTTTCTTCTCCCCGTCAGTCTTGCTCTCCTCGACCTTAGCGTCCCCGTTTTCCTTGACTACGTCGGCTGCCACGGACTCCTCAGTCTTCTCGGTGACCTCTTCCGCGGCTTTTTTCTCCACCACGGGCTCCTCGGCTTCTGCTTTTTGGACAGGCTCCTCCGGCTTGCTCTCAGTCTTTTCTGGGCTTTTCTCAGCCTCTCCCCCTACCGCCTTTGATTTTTCTCCCGCGACTACGGTGTCGGATTTTTCCGCGCTGTCCGTCGTTTCTGTAGCCGAAATTTCTTTGGCCGCGCTCTTTGCCTCCTCCTCCTCCTCCTTCTCCACCGGTGCAACGCCGTTTGTCTTATTCTCTTCGATTGTCTCCGCCGTGCTTTCTACCTTGCCGTCCACGTCGCCGTCGACTGTTTTCACCGGCTCGGCATCTTCCGATGTGTCCATGGGCTCCGGGGCGGGTTCGGCTGTCTTGGACGGCTTGTCGTCACTGGGCGAGTCTTTTTCTTCACCCGCGGGGATTTCCTCGTCCAACTTTTGGCGCTTGCTCGGCGATTGGAAGGACAATTCGGCAAACGATTCGATTGTCTTGTACGCGGCTTTGTCTTCGTCGCTGAGCTTGGCGTTGCCTTCCCTCACGACGATGATCGCGGACAAACCAGCAGCCTTTGCGGCTTCGGCCTCTGCGAACATTGTGGAAATAAACAGATGCCGTTATACAATGTGCAAAATAATCCTCGTGTGATTTCGTTAAAAAAAACAACAAACACTTTTGCTAAATGATCGCGACTCGGGCAGTGAGCTTATGAAGTTTCAAACAGACTGACGTCCCCCCTAAATGTAAATTAATTGGCTCAAAGCGAGTATAATCAGGGTAATATAGATAGATATAGGTGTGCTTAATAGATAGTAATCTGCAGCCAATCTGCTTTTTGTCACGATTTGTGAAAATTTACATTATTCATACTGTGTAAGGCTAAAATCTTAGATAAAACTGAAATTTTAGAAGGCCTGATCATGTTTTTTTCAAGATGTTGGTGTCTAATGTTTGACTTTTTACATTGGAAGTATAGGAAAAGCCTCCGATTGAATTAGATTTTCACTTATAGGGGAACATTGGGTGAATTAGGCATAGCGGGTGAGATAGGTTTTTGAATATTTAAAGAAATTCGTAAAATTATGAATAGATTTCTTTTTATTATGCATCTGTGATACAAATAGTTTATTTCTCATAGAAACTTTACCAGAAATTTTTTTTTCCTTTTAAATACACAACTGTTTTAATTTTAGTAAAAAAATAGTCACGAGTTNCATCCATATTATTACGTCTAAACATTTCTTTAATTTCTTCAAGAAAAACTGATTTATATTAGACCGAAAAAAAATTGGAAAAGCTGCGAAAATGGTAAGTAGATGACATAACACAAATACATGGCTTTAAATGAGAATAGCAGTATTTGTTCTAAGAAAAATTAATAGTTGATACACTTACTTTGGTTTTTTCCCCGTAACTATGAGAAGTAAATCCACTATACAGGCAGGTATAAAATGAAACAATATGTGAAATATCCAAAATACGTAAATGTTCTTGGAGAATATTATAAAAGGCTTCCACACAGAACTGAAAGGTGTTTCTGTGTAACTGAAATTTGAAGTCAAGAATTCGTGAACGCCATTTAAGGTTATGGGGTTGACGGTAGTACTGCCATAGTTGTAAACAGCTGGTTCACATTGGGTTTTTCTGCAGCATAAAAACAAACGGTTCATTTAAAAAAAAAGTTGGACCACCATTTTTTTCGTAACATATTGAAAGGTCACGTGATCATTTTCTTGGTTTCAAAGTTGTTTGGATTAAAAATTTTTTGTTCACAATTAGAAAATATTCTACTTAAGAGGAAAAGACTTGCGGCGAGTGCGTCACTTGAAAATGCACACAATTGCATTGCAAAAAGCTTATAGCAGCGAGGAATATTTGACCTCTGCGGATCATTAGAATACTACGAGCCATTTTTTTTTTTTTTTTCAAAACGCGCTTTGAAGTTACAAACTACACGTGTCAGAAAAAATCAATTTTCATGGCCACGAATAGATATTATCTAAGAAAGGTCGTATCCTCCAAAGTATTAAAAAGTCGTTCTGAAAACAATAACTTTCCTTTTGGAGGTAAAATATTTGACGGTCAGAAAGATTTTACGTTTGTAGGAAATTAAGAACAGTGTTAACAAATTCAATTGAGATTTTGCCGACGAGCTGCGTAGTCTGAAGTCTTTTAAGGAATTTGAATGACTTATTAAATCTTTCTGTAATGACTTTAAGCTACATGCACCCTTGAAGTCCTGATAAAAAGTCTGAAGTCTTTGGGAGACTTCTGAATTTTTTAAAAGACTTAGAATGACTTATGAAATCCTTAAAAGACTTAAAATGACTTCTGAAGTCTTTTTTAATGACTACGCTATGTGCACCCTTGAAGTTTCGGTAAATAGTCTGAAGTTTTTTGGAGCATTTTGAAGTCTTTGAAAAACTTAGAATGACTTATGAAGTCTTTAAAAGACTTAAAATGACTTATGAAGTCTTTTTTAATGACTTGAAGTATTTTATAACGACTTTAAGCTACATGTACTTTTGAAGTCCTGGTAAAAAGTCTAAAGTCTTTGAAAAACTTAAAATCACTTATGAAGTCTTTTTTAATGACTTCAAGAGTGCGCAGTTCCTCGAATTTTGCTACAAACTTGAAACGCCACGTATCATTTGTACTTTGAAATCAATTTAAATGAACACCCTAACTCGAAGATCTTAAATAAGTGCAAAAAGAACATGCGTACACTCACCCTTTACTGTAATTATCCCACGTCACTGCCAGCAGTGCATTAGTGGTGTAATCAGAAGGAACCAAGTCTATGGGGTAACATACATGATAAGCCGTGTGAAGGACTCCTAGGCCAGCTGCGATGAATACTAGGACTGGTCCATTTTTATTTCCACACCATCCGGCAAGTGGTTCATTGTATGCATTTATAACTGTCGATTAATCAAATGGTTGTACTTTCAATAGTTTTATTCAAGCAATTTTGAATTAATCACCTTATAAATTATCGATCGATCCCCCTGTGAATAAGTAATCAAGTAACGAGACCTGTTCGATTGTTCATATACGTGAGAAAGTTTCCTTAACTCAGCCACGTACATATTCATGAGTTTGACGATCTATGTGTCGATTCTTATCATTTCTATTTTATTGGGTTTGTAAAAACAATATTTTACTAGATATTCATAGGTCAATGTCTCTCCGAATGTAGAGATTATATAAGGTAATAATAAGGTCAGTAATTCACTGTTATAAAATTTAACTAATCCTCTGTATTTTATAAATATCCTTTTTTATCTTGTTCCTAAATTTTTTGTTGTAAATATTTAGCATTCAAAATTTATGTCATTAAAGATCATGTTAAGGACTGTTGGATCAGTCGATGCCTGTGTATACAAGTAATGTATAACTCGAAGGTTTACCATTTGCTGCATGGAAAATAAATAATACACTTTGTCTAGGTATTGATCACTTTTTGCTTTAAATTGACAAAAGTTAATGAAAAAAGCATGTATTCGTTGATTAGACATTCATTTTCGAGCGAAAATGTTTAATGCATGTTCAGCCAATATGTCATGCAGTTTTCTAACCTTGCACTGGCATAAATCTGCGGTATATAACGTAACTCCATTTGCATGCACACTGGGCATCACGTTTTTATTTGACGTTATCGTGAATTCATCCTTACGTTCTTTATCAACAAGTACCGAATGCATGTAAACATATTACCATGTTTTTATTACGGAATAGATTTTAGAAAAATTGTGCTTCTTGTGAATAGATCGAAACTATTTTCATCGTATTTATTACATAATCGTGGAAATATAACGTGTCAACTTGTTCTCACAGTCGAAAATGTGTTATCAAGGCACCATGTAAAAGTCAAGATGGTAAAAAACTCCCTGATATGGATAATTGCAATCCTTACCGACACTCGGCCTGTAAACTCCGCAGATGAATTTGGCCCTCTGGCCGTGCTGCTTGACCAAATTTTCGGCAATAGCTTTGGTGTAGGTGTAGATGTTGGGAAACTTCCCCAACCAAGTCTGCATGAACTGTTCCGGCATGCCATCCTTCATTTCAAGGTCCTTTTTCATCATCACGTAAACCTCATTAAGGTCGGCAGGTGGTTTGTAAAAGGTCTCTTCGACGTCCTGGATGTAAGGATGCGAGTACGCGGTGGACACGTACATGAACATCTCGAGCTTTTTGCATTCGTGGGCCAACTCGAGCATACTATTGGTGCCGAGGACGTTAACTTGCAGCGCCAAGTACACGCGAATGTCGAACTTGACGTTGGCAGCGTTGTGGAACATTATGTTGGTCTCGTTCTTAATGAGATCCCGATCCGCCTCCGACAAGCCGAGCTTCTCTTCAGCCAGATCGCCTTTTAGAGCCGTCACTTTGCTTTCGAAAGTTGGACATACCTTTCTCAATCGGTCAAATATCTGTGGTGCGTTAGATAATATACAATGATTATCGTTTTCTTGTTTGGTGGTGAAAACTGTTTCAAATTTACACTGCTATTTTCAACATTTATTGACTTTGAATGAATAAGCGAGAACTTTGTTGTTTTTAATCAACAACTACATGGGTTGGAATGATTCTATTCTAAAATCATTAATATTTCCCGAGCGTACTACGAGTTACAGGATAAATGGAATACTTGTGAGATAAGATATGTTCGAGTCAATAAGTAATCCATTAAATTTATGACGAAAATTTAGTTTTAGCGTCAATTAAAATTAGTTGTTGTTGGTTGCCGCGATGCGATAAGTATTAGCTTACACGAAGTAGTCTATACCCCATGGTTTTTCAACCTTTTGCATTAGCATTCTGACAATGGTTATTTGAAAAAATAGTAATTTCCTTATCATGATAGTAATATTCTTTTGTAAATGAGTTACTGAATTGAGAAACAAATGCGTGTACTTGTACAATTTTTAAAGGTACTCATAAAAAACTACACTAATTTCATCTTAAAAAAGAAAATAACTTGAATGAAGTCTTGTATTCGTTAGATGATGAAGTCACGAGGTTATGGTTAAAATGACATTCACCGGTTGTAAAAATAAATGTTTTGTGAATCATTACCATGATAATTCTTTGTTTTTACAAAATATAATCAAAATTACAATTTTTGTAAATTAAAAAAAAAAAAATAATACTTATCGCAATATGTATCATTAGAAAATGTTAATGAGTTCGCGAAGCGCACCTGATCTGTCTAGTCATCCATAAAATTAATGCAGGAGATTGGATGCGTCAAATGAGCTAAAATGATTATGGTATTACGAATTAATTCAGAAGAAAAAGATTGTCATGCATCATCAATAAATAATTGTCATTGATTACAATTATGTATTTGATAGTTATTAAACCCATGTGGTATTAGTAAAACAAATCTGCAGATACGACCCTCTTATTTTTGCTCATTAAAGTTTCATCACATTGTAATCACTGAACAACGACATCCACATTCAATGCCAAAACTTTCTCAGCCCATTCGTAATTTTTTTTTTTTTTTTTCTGTTTTCTTCGCGTATTGTACCGATTTTACGTACTATATTTTGGAAGTACTTCTTTAACAACTCGTCGACTGGAGTATTCTTCTTCTCCCTCATGAGCACGAAAATGTGCTTAACTCCGGGACAGTCTCTAAGCAGCTTTTCGATCAGGCATTTTCCCATGAAACCCGTGACACCAGTGATAAAGATCGTCTTGCCCGCGAAGTACTTGGCAACTTGGCTTTCCTCGCGCGGCGGCTGTACCAATTCAAGGTCATCCTTCATGTGCTCGTAGAGCACGTCCACTTGAGACATCTTGAAGGCTTCCACCGAAAATGAAAGAAACGGCGGCAACAGCAACAAACACAACCACAATTTATAGCTGCAAAACGCGGAAATGAGCGTGTACCTATTGTAGCCGTGAAAGCGCGGCTGGATGTCACAACTGAAAGCCTCGTCAAGCCTTATTGGCAATTTATATAGGATGGCACACGCGCTGCCTCTACATATATAGATATACATGTAGATATGTCGTGATCGTGACCAAGTGCGAAATAGTGGGGCTTAGGTATACTGTCTATGTGACGATCATTGCCCTATACTTGTACTAGTCACATTAGAATTTCAATATTTCTGGCTCGTTTGAATTTTCCGATACTATACTCATAGACCTCGTCTATTCGATTGTTCAACTCGACAACGTCAATTGAAACGCTTTTTCGGATTTTACCTGTATGATTTTGGTTTTAGTCCGATTGATAGTGATTATTGATAGTGCTGGTAATATGTTTTATCCACAAAAGACAAACAAGGTAACGAGGAACTGTTTTTATTTTTGAAATTTACTTTAATAATAATTTTAAAACATTTTATAAAGCGTTAATTAACACGTACTATTGTGATTATTGAAATTAGAAATCTTATTAAAGTCAAGTGAATTTTCTAAAAATTAAAAGAGGGTGTAAATTATGAAGAGCAATTTTTCAAGATAGCTAAAGAACTTTAGGACAAATAAAAACAGCGGTTTGTTGAATCATATTAAAAAATTTAAAAAAATTTTGTTTCTCATTTCTCTAACGAAATCTGATAAGCTGCATCAATATTTTAAATAGAAAAACATATTATAGCTCATCAAACAATTTCTGAAGGATTTATTAAGTTCTATTCATAGTTATTTCACACAAGAACTACTTTAATATCACTCGATACTTTTTACGTATCAAAAATAGGTCTGAGTATCATATTTGCCTACATAGCTTCAAACTTTTATCTTTGAGAACTCTATGGTCATGCATCCTCTCCAAATAAAAATTTAGGTTGGTAAATTTATGATATAACAATTAGTATTATGTGATATATTTTATTATTCTGCAAAATGTTTGTTCTTATCATCGTAGTAAATTTTACCTTTTCTTTTGGTACAATTTTTCCGGACACTGATGATACTTGATTAACACAGGCTAACATCAAAGTCTTAGACTAGATTAGTCAACCTCATTTTTTATTCTCTTGCGCTATTGTCATTCAAAGAAGAATAGAATGATCAACTATTATGACGCTTCAATAATAAAAAAAATCAACAGAGACTACAAAATCTTTAAAATTTTTACAACGTAATTATTTTCGAAATTTAACCGTCAGACTACAGAAAACTATAATTTATTTTAAAAAAAAAGAAAGAAAAAAAAATGCACCGTAAATCAAAATTTTTTAACAAATTTATACTGAAAAAAATGGTTTTTTAATTAAATTCAAAATAATACTTTATAGAATATATGGTAGTTATTAGCCTTAGTTTATTATGAA